ACTGAGGGTTGCGATCCGTTGCCGGACACGGAAAAAGACAAAAAAAAAAAAAAAAAATTTATGAAATCCAATCAAGCTATCGCACTAGGAGGACTAGGAGGACATAGCTTTGAAAGCTTTCAAGGAAATATTGCTCTATCAGCGAAGTTAGTCAAATAAACTGGATCCTGCAAGATGTTTTGGTTTCTTTAGTAAATGGATTCATTTTTCCTGGTGGGACAAAATTTAGGCAGTACTAAATTGTGATTAGAAAGATTGTGGATGGTGTCAAAGATCCATGGAAGAAGCAAACTTAAAGAATGAATAAAAACTTGCTAAGGATGGGGAGGCCAAGGGGTTTCCAGGCAGGGAGAACAGTGTCTGTAATGAATGGGGGCTTAACAGAATATGGGAACTATATATTAGAAATTGTTGGTATGGGATAGAGTAGAGCCAAGATGACACATTCTTTTGGTTTGAGCAACTGGATAGATACTAATGCAATTTCTTAAAACAGGAAATGCACAAGAAAGGGAGCTTTGTAGGAAATAAAGAGCAAGGGTAGTGCTAGAGGTAGCAATGATTTGTCCCATTACAATGGGCTGAGTTTCTGTAGGGGAAATATCTAGTGCAGAATCTGATGCACAGTTGGCACTCAATAACTATTTGCTAAATCTGAAATCTTCTGTTTGTGCTTATTTTGGGAGATATCTAAGAGGTTCTTTTATCCTTCAATTTGTCATTTTTAAAAATGTAGGAGTATCAAAAAGAGAGGTCACATAGTTAATCACAATTATCTGTCTAAACAAATATGAGGGAAATCAGCTATAGTTGAGGGCAAATATGACATGTGGACAATTAAAAATGAGCAGAAGTGGGGTGAGATGTCTTTGTGAAAGTTTCTTTGTTGATCATGGTTGGATTTTGTATTAACTAGGGTAGGACAATAAAAACAAAAAAACTAGAGTTAAGAACTCAACTCCTCCTGTGTTCACCAAAAACACAAAGAGCCCTTCCTCTGGTTTTGTTCATAATACCTCCCACACTCTCAAAAGTGAGGACAACCATTAAAATAGTGAAGAAAACGACTGAATTGGCCATCAACTGAATTCTCAACAAAGAGAAAGGGAATGCATGATCTTTAGCCGAAAAGTCATGAACTATTTTATAAAGGTATCTTGAATTCCAAGCAATAAAAACAACTGGTTTCGACATAATGAAAAGAATCATTTTACGTTACTCAAGGTAAATATTTGCCTATGTACATGTTGAAAACATTTTACTCCAAGGAGTAAAAAAATATATATTATTTTTATATTTCCTCCAAATGCAGAATTTTCCCCAGGTTCATCTCCCAATCCACAGGTATTATGTTTACAGAGGCACAGCCCTGCATTACCAACTCTATTATTGCAAAATGATTTCATTATTAAGCCTCAGTTTATTCCAAGCCTTCTGGATAATTTTGACCAGTACTGCACTTGTTTAACTCTGGAGACTTTGTAATAAAAGTTTAATGAGTTACTTATTATTAGAATGTTTATAGCCATTATTTTAAGATGAACAATAGTGACGTAAAGTTTGTACGCATTTGGTTTAAAACGCATTCAACCCACATATCAGTGAATGCTACAGTGATTTTTTAAAAATCTCTTATCAATACATGTGTCTAAAGGCCATGTAGCTAAACCACAACTTTACAGGGGTGTGGCTAAGAACAAAACAAGGAAGGATTTCTCACTTGCAATCAAATCAAATTCAGATCTTAACTTCTGGCATTTCAGAATTTGGACAAAAACTGCTTTTATTAGGGCATTTTGAACAGATTTCACAAGGGGACAGATATAAGGCCAGGGGACAAAAAGTTGAAGTCCTGAAGGCACTGCATGTTTAGTTCTATTTAAAAGCTAACCAGATATTCTATTAATGATCATAAATATTAAGAGAACATACCAAAATAAATCTAGTTTATCTGATTTCTGTCTACCTGAAATACTGTGAAACCAAAGGTCAATCACATCTCCAAAACTTTTTTACCCATGAGGAAATTGCCTACTAGTTTTTCAGATATAGACGAGATTTTTCAGAAATTATGAGGTTATGATTTAACCACAAAAGTTTTCAAGTTACAAAAATAAATGGGAAGTATATGTATATCTACTGAATCTGTACAAAAATTATAAACTCAGAAGAATAACGTAGTTACCTGTCTTTACTGAAATAAAATTAATTTAGATTTTGTAATTACACCATAACTTCCACTTCTTAGATATTACCAGATGGCTTCTATGAAAAGTACGGCTGAAACCAGAAACTCATTTTCAAAACAATTTTGTGCTGTCATTTCTATGCATGAATTACTCATTTAACTGATGTGAATATAAAGAATCATCACAGAATTCAGTGATGAGTACAGTATTCACATTCTGGAAGCATGTAGAATCAAAGTAGTGTTATCAAAAGAGAGGCAAAATATATTAGAAGAACACAAAGCAAAATGAAAATGTAGAATGAAAGTAAAACCAAATTAACCCACAGCCGCAGAATGGAGAAAACAAATGTTTTCCTCCAATCTTCCAAGCCTGATCCAAGGGGGAAAAAAAGTTAAAATACAATAAACGTGTCATATGACTGTATTTTCTAATGCCACATGCTATGTATGGATGGCCATATCCAATATTTCTAAATATTAACTATAAAACCACATTTTTTCCTTTACTGCTTTTTAAGTTGATACTATTCTTTGGCCATTCATTAGGCTGGGTTCCCTTCTACCATGCTGTACCTTTAAGCAATTCATTGTTTCTATCAAGAAGTGAGATTGTAAAGGAAGTCCATTCTTAAAGACCTATTTGAAGACATATTGCACCACACAGAATTTGCTTATTTTATGGCACTTAAATAATTAATCTCTTCTTTACATATCTGCATATACATAAATGTGTTAACTCAAAATATGTTCTTACCTCCCATCCATAACTGGGGTCTTTCAGGTTTGACCTCTGCTCTCCCACATAAGGTCCAAACTTTTCACCTACTTCGATCTTCCTTTTGGTCCATATTCCTAGTCCTGCTCCAGGCATAGTTGACTCTCGAAGTTCAAACTCAGCAGGAATGGGGATATCATCAGGGATGTAGATGGGGGCTTTGTAAGGTGAGCCCTCCTTCGGAGTGAAAGCTTCACTGGATGAGGCTGGAGAGCATGGCTCTTGAATGTTGAGAGATGGCGTGCTGGCTACTCCATCTGCATCTGGCATTTCTTCCAAAGGTATCTCAGGGTAGTTGTCATATACACACTCATTACCTGTGAATAAATAAGAACTTCATGAGTTCCTACTGATATAGAAGAGACAAAGTTTATTTCAATAAGGACGGTCACCTTATTATGTTGTTATTCTTTGAAGACTAAATAGGAAAGATCATTGTTAAAATGTGCCTTCATTATAACCTCTTCCAGGTGGGGAAAGCAGTAGGGATTATGGCCTCAGTGGTTTATCTGTGGTGAATCTAGAAATCAAGTGAACTAATCCTTAACTGTCAATATGTGCATGAGCCAGCTCAATCCATTATCCATCTAAAAACAATCAGCAACTTAATTAGTTATCTGAATAAAGTAGAGACAAGAAGTAAACATGTGCATAACTAAAACCCCCAAACCATCCCAAACTGGGAGCTGACGGGATTATATCATTTATCAGAAAGCTGTATCATGCAGAGGTATCTTGGAATAAATGTAGGAGAGGCATCGAAGATTCCAAAGGCTGACATGTGCAATAAGGCTTAAATTTTGGTGGCAGGATTATTTATTGGAATTTTTTTTTTTTTTATGTCTTTTTCCGTGTCCGGCAACGGATCGCAACCCTCAGTGTCGCCCCCGTACCGGACCGGGACCGGCAACGGGATCGCAGCCCTCGGCGTTGCTCCCGCGCCTCGCTCAGCCAGTGAGCGGGAACCGGTCTGTATGTGGGATCCGAACCCTCGGTGGGAGCGCCGCCGCGCTTCTCAAGCGGCACACTACAGCAGTGCACCACCAGGCCGGCCCCTATTTATTGGAATTTTAATTTGTGTTTGGTCTTTCTATACTTCTCCCTTCTTTATTTTCCTGTTTCACCAAGCCCTTGGTATTTCCTTGCGTCCATAACTTATTCAGAGCAGAAAATTAAAGTTACTTGAAGCCAATGATGCCTCTGGACATTTGCAAAAGCTAAAATCATTAAAGAAATTAGGTGGACTCCCCAAAGCAATGTAGCCTCACACCTGAAGTAAATGGGTGTACCATGTGAGACCTTAAGACCTTTATGAAAATTATGTGTTCAAGTGGGGGTGGGGGTGGGGAGGGTGTGAGGAATAATGACTGAGCTTGAATATCCAACAATTGACAGGGAGATCAGTTGCCTTAAAGCAAATAAATACATTTCTTGTCCACTAAGATTAAGGACTAAAAGTCATAACTGATTTGTTTGATTCATAAAACTTCAAGGGAAGAATTGAGAAAAATGGGTTAAAATTACAAGAAGAGAGATTTCAGTCAGAGCTGTCCAAAGGTTTAATGAATTGCCTCCAGTTCACATGACAGGGGTTCTAATATAGCCTGAATGACCACAAATAAGAGAAGATACGGAGGAATTTCAGCTTCAGGTTGGTGACTATACTAGGTGAGCTTTAAGTTCTTACTAACCCTGAAGTTCTATGAATTAAGTCTTCCAAGACAGTTTATTGGGCTGAAGGGTAAAAGACTTGCGTTTTAGCCCTAATTGCTTCTCTGATTCATTATGGAAATTAGCTACAACACTCATTAACAATTGTCCAACAAATAGTGATTCCTGCCTCTTAAAGTTTTGTGAATTGCAAAGTGATAGTATATGCAAAAGTATCTTCTAATGAGGTGCTTGGTTCTTGATTCAAACATTGAGTTAATGCCATTGAAACCAGGCATATAACCAAACTCCAGCACCCAACCATATAACTATGAGACATAGGTTCTCAATATACAAGCTCATTATTATTCAAGGTGAGCATGTCCAAAATATTTACATTATCATCTGCCCTCAAATCAATTCTCTTGTCTACATCTCAATTTCTATTAAGACTACTATCTTTCCATTAATTATACATGTTCAAGAATTTAAAATAACATGGACATTTTCTCTCCTTTGTCTTCTAATCTATTAACTCACTAAATGCTGTATATTCTTCTTGAAAGATATTTACCTTCACCTTATTCTTTCAATCCATACTTTCACTCCTGAATTTTCTAATAGTCCTCTAAATGGGTCTTTAGACCACCAGCCTTTTTTTCACTATCCCTCAGCAGCAAGCCTGTGCAATGCTACTGGATTTAATTTCCTGTCAAACCTATTTCCCTGTTCGACAGCCTCCAATAACTCCCAGTCTGTAGATAATGTCTAAACTTCTCAGAATCTTTTTTTTTTCTATTTCTGTGAAGAATGTCATTGGTATTTTGATGGGGATTGTATTAACTCTGTAGATTGCTTTGGGTAAAATGGACACTTCCACAATGTTAATTCTTCTAGTCCAAGAGCATGGAATATTGTCCCATCTTTTTGTGACCTCTTTCTTTCAACAGTGACTTGTAGTTCTTGTTGTAGAGATCTCTCACCTCCTTGGTTAAATTGATTCCTAGGTATTTCATTTTACAAAAGACCCTCAATAGTCAAAGCAATCCTGAGCTAAAATAAAATAAAGCCAGAGGCATTGCACTATCTGATTTCAAATTATACTACAAAGCTATAGTAACCAAAACAGCATGGTACTGTCATAAAAACAGACACATCAAGGGAACAGAATAGAGAACCCAGAAATCAACCCAGAAACCTATAGCCAACTGATCTTCAACAAAGCCCCCAAGAACATACAATGGGGAAAAGACTGCCTCTTCAATAAATGGTGATGGGAAAACTAGACATCCATATGTGGAAGAATGAAACTAGACTCGTACCTCTTACCATATACCAAAATCAACTAAAAATGAATAAAAGACTTAAAAATAAGACTTGAAGTTATAAAACTCCTAAAAGAAAACATAGGGGGAACACTTCAGGAAGTAGGACTGGGCAAAGACTTTTTGAATATGACCCCCCAAAACACAGGCAACAAAAGAAAAAATAAATAAATGGGATTATATCAAAATGCAAAGCTTCTGCACAGCAAAATAAACAATTAACAGAGCAAAAAAGACAACCTACAGAGTGGAAGAAAATATTTGCAAACTATACATCTGACAAAGGATTAATATCCAGGATTTATAAGGAACTCAAACAACTTAGCAGTAAAATGCAAATAACCCAATTAAAAAATGGGCAAAGGAACTAAATAGGCATTTCTCAAAGGAAGATATACAAATGGCCAACAGACACATGAAAAAATGCTCCACATCATTCAGCATCAGGAAAATGCAAATCAAAACCATATTGAGGTATCATCTCACCCCAATTAGACGGGCTATTATCAAAAAGACAGAGAATAACAAATGCTGGTAAGGATGCAGAGAAAGGGGAATCCTCCTACACTGTTGGTGGGACTGTAAATTGATGCAGCCATTATGGAAAACAATATGGAGGTTCCTCAAACAACTACAGACAGAACTGCCATCTGACCCAGCAATCCCACTGTTGGGTACATACCCAAAGGAGAGGAAATCATCATGTCAAAAGGATACCTGCACTCACATGTTCATTGCAGCTGTATTTACAATAGCCAAGAGTTGGAACCAACCTAAATGTCCATCGTCAGACAACTAGATAAGGAAAATGTGGTATATTTAAACAATGGAATACTACTCAGCCATAAAAAAGAATGAAATTCTGCCATTTGCAGCAACATAGATGAACTTAGAGAAAATCATATTAAGTGAAATAAACTGGGCACAAAAAGAGAAATACTGCATGTCCTCACTCATAAGTGGGGTCTAAAGAATAAACAAATAAATTTTGAAAAAAAGAAACAAAGCCACAACAATCACAATAATATGCTGAATTTTCAAAAGGAGAGAACAGAACTGAGGTTACCAGATGTGGGAAAGGGGGAGGGGGAAGGGTAAGAGAGGAATTGGTAAAGGGACAGGAAAACGATTACATTGTGTAATGTTGAACACACTATTTATCCTGGTTTGAGCATCACATATTGCACACAGGTATTGATGTTCAACTCTGTGCCCCACAGATATGTACAATCAACTATGTTACAATTTTTAAAAATTTAAAAAATTTTAAAAATAAAACCTCTTAGGCTTAGAATAAAATCTCTCTCATTTTGAAACCATTCTCCCTTCTATCTGATTCTCAAAACTCCTCAACAGCAACCGTAGGCCACAGCAAGCTTATCCCTGTCCTCTGAGCTCAGTGAGCATTTCTCCCTCACTTCTACTGCCTGGCTGTCCTAACTCTGCTTCTACGCCCAGCCAACAGTCATCCTCCCAGGTCAAGTTCAACTTGTCTCATCCTATTTAACACAGGTATCCCCTTCCCTTGAATTCTTACATAATTTCACCCCTCAGGTTGGCAATCAAATACCATGCATAGCTACTTAGGGTTTAATGTGTATTATTCTCTTATTCCCAACTAATAAATAGGCCCTTGAAGAGAGGTATTAGAACTCTCACTTCTTAGAAATTCTCCAAGTGATCTGCATATAGATGTTTAATGAATACTTGTTAAATAGATAATTAACCTAACATATAATTTTATTGAACTATTAAACCAAACAATATTTTTCTACCTGAACAGCACCTTTAAGCCTATAGAAATAGAACACAACAGATAATAAACTTATCTCCAAACCCAACATCAGGAGAAACAATTTAACAATTTACCAGCCATTTTCCACTGTTTGTGGCAAACAGTAGGGAGGTTCCTCAGAGAACTTAAAACAGATCTACCTTACGACCTAGCTATCCCATTACTGGATATATGCGCAAAGGAAATGAAATTAACATATCAAAAAGACACGTGCATTCCCACGTTCACTGCAACCCTATTCACAACCCTATTCTTGATAAGAGATGAAATCAATCTAAATGCTCATCAACAGATGAATGGATTTTAAAAAACACTGTGGTATATATATATATACAATGGAATACTACTCAGCTATTAAAAAAAAGATATCCTATCATTTGCAGCAACATGGATGGAACTGGAAACCATCATGTTAAGTAAATCAGGCACAGAAAGACAAATACTGTATGATCCCATGCATATGTGGAATCTTTTAAAAAAAAAAGTTCCCATAGAAGAAGAAAGTAGAAGAATAGTTGTCAGAGCCTGGGATGAAAGTGGGTCAGG